ACACTGGCGAGAAGCCCTATCCATGCATGGAGTGTGGGCGCCGCTTTCGGCACAAACCCAACCTGCTCTCACACAGCAAGATCCACAAGCGATCTGAGGGTTCTGCCCAGTCAGCCCTTGGCTCAGGGAGCTTCCAGCTTCCGGCTGGACCACTGGAGCCCTTGTTAGAGTCCACTCCTGAGGTCCTCCTGAGGCCTCTACAGGAACCTGCCTCAGACCCCCTCCTGGGGGTCCCTCCAGAGCCCCCACAGGTCCAGGTTGCTGCCCCCTCTTCTCTTTACAGCTGTGGGGACTGTGGCAGGAGCTTCCGACTGGAGCGTTTCCTCCGTGCTCACCAGCGACAACACACAGGTGAACGGCCCTTCACCTGTACCGAGTGTGGGAAGAACTTTGGAAAGAAGACCCACCTGGTGGCTCACATACGGGTCCACTCAGGGGAACGACCCTTTGCCTGCGAAGAGTGTGGACGCCGCTTCTCACAGGGCAGCCACCTGGCCGCCCACAGGCGTGACCATGCCCCTGAGCGGCCCTTTGTCTGCCCAGACTGTGGCAAGGCTTTCCGCCACAAGCCCTACCTGGCAGCCCACCGCCGCATCCATACTGGTGAAAAGCCCTATGTTTGCCCTGAATGTGGCAAAGCCTTCAGCCAGAAGTCCAACCTGGTGTCCCACCGGCGCATCCACACAGGCGAGCGGCCTTACGCGTGCCCTGACTGTGACCGGAGCTTCAGCCAGAAGTCCAATCTCATCACCCACCGCAAGAGTCACATCCGTGATGGCGCCTTCTGTTGTGCCATCTGTGGTCAGACCTTTGATGATGAGAACAAACTCCTGGCCCATCAGAAGAGGCATGATGTCTGAAAGCGAGCAGGAGCTGTTGAGGGGAGAGAAAATGTACATTGGGACCAGGGTCCCTGTGGGCTTGACGGCCCTGGCTGGTGGGGATATAGCAGATGGGATGGATGGGCATCACTGAGGGGGGTGGACGAGGAGTGAGGTGAGCCCCTTTAGAGAGGGAGTCCAGCTCCCCTTCTCCAAATAACCTACTTTGTCGTTGAAAGGGCCTTAGCCTTCCACCTGGTGTTTCTAAAGCGATGCTTCCCACTGTTTTGTGCCCAGAAAAATTAGCAATAGCGGTGTGATTTACCCATCGTACCCTTGGGCTGAAGAGCCACCAGTGGAAAAATCCTTTAGCCTCTGGTGTCAACTGCCTTAATGTCCCTTTGTCTTTTATTTAGAGTCCCTTCAAATAATTTTGGAAGTAGGTATGGTTTAATTCTTCGTAAATAAACACTTGGGGAAGAAAACTGGACCAGCTAGATATACCCTGGGGAACCTCCTGACCTTATACAGCACCTGGACTTTGTCCAGCATGGGGTAAACAGAACTGTTCTTAGCAGTCCCATCACTCAGCCTCCTGCATAGGCAGCCAGACCTAGACTGACTGCTGGTAGTTCTGACATCATTCCCCCTCCTGAGAGCCCCTCCCAGCATAGGAGTCCCTCCTGGGTGTTAGCACCCCCGTGGTCGGGTTTTTGCCTGAACCCCTAACTCCTCCACTCCTGACCAACCTCCAGAATTTATGGGAAGGACAGGCTCGTTGATTGGGTATTGCCAGCTGTAGGAGATAACTGGGTGAGTTTTCAGCATTTCTAGTATGTGGCATGCAGCCTCTGCTTAAACACTTAGTTTACAGGAATTTCCCTGCTTCCTGAGGCTCTGCTTCTAATGTAGGATAATTCTAATGGTTAGAAATGCTTCCTTATGATTAACAATATTTGCTTTCCTATATTACCTGTTGGGCCTTGTCTTGTTTTCTGGAACTTCACAGAACCACCATTTGTTGTCCTTTTCAAACTAGAGAATAAAATTTGGTTTTAGAACTAGTGGTTCAGACTAGAAGTGGCTCTACAACTGTCGACATTTATCAAAGTTCATAGAGTTTCCAGAGGCATGCTATTCAGAAGTAAATTACCAGGCCTTTATTCATTACCAGCATTTGAAGGTCTGCTGAATCCTCTCTACCAGGTAAGACCCTGTTAATGTTTAAATAAAAAATGGCATAGTTTCCAGCATCAAAACATGTAAGCTGTCACAGCAAACAGATTTACCAGTCGATAGTGACCTAGTTATGCTGTTATGTGCTGTCAAGTCAACTTGC